AATTTTCTATGCTCCATTAAACGCGAACGAACAGCAATGACGGCCAAAAAATGCCATTATTTCTCATTTTCCGTCTAAACTCACGAAATTAAACCTTAAATTATAGACTACAATATTTCGAAGTATAAAATCTGCTTTTACTGCAGGTTGCACAACAGTATTAAATTTTGCTATATATTCTCACCAAAAATGCGCAACTTTGAGTAGGTGATATTAATTGAAAACAAACTTTTGAGAAGTTTCCTTTTCAGATCATGTAAAACAATTCTTTATAAAGATTTTAGTACCAAAAAATACATAGCCATCCAGCAAGGCACGCAAGTTTGTCTTGCTCGAAGTCGAGCAGGTGCTTGAAAATCAAGTCCAGGACCTAATCACTCCCCACTCAAATACGGTATATAGAAAATTCAGCACGCCCTAAATTTTTAGCTCTTCTGAGCCAAAGGCTCAAAGAGCTAATGCTATGGCCATTTGTGCGGTGTGCGGTGTGCGTAAACTTTTTAGAATATGGGCCATAACTCAAGAACCCCTTGGCCAATTATTGTCAAATTTGTCACAGGGTATCCTTGGCCCAAGGGCTCCCTTTTATACTAAAACTGGGGTTGTGACCCTTTAACAAGGGGAGATAATTAGGAAAATAGAAACAAAAGTACTGGTTGCTAAAAAATCTTCTTGTCAAGAACCACTGGGCAGATTATCACCAAACTTACACAAAAGGATGAGGATATGTTGTAGATTAAAATTTGCACGGGGATTTACCCTGGGGCAAAGGGCGTGGTCTCAAGGTCACTTCAAAGTTGACCAAAAATTACATTTTATTAAAATGTTGATATTTTGCTTACTATAAGGACTAGGATCATCAAATCTTGTCAGTTGGTGCATCTAAGGACCTCATATCATGTTGACTCAAAAGTAGGTCACGGTGACCTACTTTTTAAATTTTGCGGCCATTCTTTTTCAAAATGATTTAGAGGCATATTTTGAACAATTTAAGGCCTATGATCATCAAACTTTGTCAGTTGATGCATCTTGGGTCCTCAAAGTACGTCAACTAAAAAGTAGGTCACCTTGACCTACTTTTTGAATTTTATGGCTAATCTTTTTTAAAACAATTAAGGTCATTAATTCGAATACGGGAAGGCTTAGAATCATTAAATCTTGTAAGATGATGCATCTTGGGGCCATAAAACATATTTATTAAAAAGTAGGTCACAGTGACCTACTTTTTGAACTTTGCAGGCATTCGATTTCAAAGCATTTTAGAGGCATAATTTGGACATTTTAAGTCCTATGATCATAAAACTTTGTAAGTTGATGCATCTTGGGTCCTCAAAAAAGGTCAACTGAAAAGTAGGTCACCATGACCTACTTTTCAATTTATATGACTATAATTAAATATTTCAGGTACTAATTGGCTTAGAATCATCAAACTTTGTCAGTTGATGCATCTTGGGTCTTCGGAGTAGGTCAACTAAAAAGTAGGTCACAGTGACCTACTTTTGAAAATTTATGGCGTTAATTAAATATTTCGGGTACTAATTGGCTTAGAATCATCAAACTTTGTCAGTTGATGCATCTTGGGTCTTCGGAGTAGGTCGACTAAAAAGTAGGTCACAGTGACCTACTTTTGGAAATTTATGGCGATAATTAAATATTTCAGGTACTAATTGGCTTAGAATCATCAAACTTTGTCAGTTGATGCATCTTGGGTCTTCAGAGTAGATCGACTAAAAAGTAGGTCACCGTGACCTACTTTTGAAAATTTATGGCTTTAATTAAATATTTCGGGTACTAATTGGCTTAGAATCATCAAACTTTGTCAGTTGATGCGTCATGGGTCTTCGGAGTAGGTAGACTAAAAAGTAGGTCACCGTGACCTACTTTCGGAAAATTTATGGCTTTAATAAAATATTTCGGGTACTAATTGGCTTAGAATTATAAAACTTTGTCAGTTTAGGTGTCATGGGTCCTCGGAGTACAACAACTGAAAAGTAGGTCACCATGACCTACTTTTGAAAATTTATGGCTTTAATCAAATATTTCGGGTACTAATTGGCTTAGAATTATAAAACTTTGTCAGTTGATGCGTCTTGGGTCCTCGGAGTACAACAACTGAAAAGTAGGTCACCGTGACCTACTTTTGAAATTTTATGGCTGTATTTAATATTTTCAGGAATTATTTGGCTTAGAATCGTCAAAATTTGTCAGTTGATGCATCTTGGGTCTTCGGAGTAGGTTGACTGAAAAGTAGGTCACTGTGACCTACTTTTGAAAATTTATGGCTGTAATTAAATATTTTGGGTACTTATTGGCTAGAATCATCAAACTTTGTCAGTCAATGTATCTTTGGTCCTCGGAGTACAGCAACTGAAAAGTAGGTCACGGTGACCTACTTTTGAAAATTTATGGCTTTAATTAAATATTACAGGTACTAATTGGCTTAGAATCATCAAACTTTGTCAGTTGATGCATCTTGGGTCCTTGGAGTAAAACAATTGAAAAGTAGGTCACTTTGACCTACTTATAAAATTTTATGATTATAATTTTAAAAAATATTTTAGGTATTAATTGGCTTAGAATCATCAAACTTAGTTGATGGGTCCTCAGAGAATGACAAGTGATAAGTAGGTCACCATGACCAACTCTCAGGTACTAATTGGCTTAGAATCATCTTGGGTTCTCAGAGTGTGAATTGGAATTTCAAGGGTTTATGTAAATATAAAGGATACTTTGAGGCTTCAAATAGAAGTGATAGGTTGTACAGTTTATCAGAAGAGCAATTCAAGGCCCATGGGCCTCTTGTAATGAATCTAGTCAATACAGGAAGTTTACATATTGTTTTTCATCTCATAAAAAAATTCAGCTCCAGTCTCTTGTTAAAATGCCCGAATCGGAAGGGAAGATTCAGGAATTATTTTGTGTCAGCCATGATTTGACGTGAACCTCAAATGAAATACTGTTATGACACCTTAAGACATAGATATATTAATACTTATAAATGAGTCAACAACTATAATCTTTGTGATATATTCTGAATTATCCATAATTCAATATCTTATTTTTATTTTTTTTAAATTTCAGATATGCAATTAGAGGTGCAAATCGCTAGGGATTCTATTGTTGCGTCATTGCTATACATAACTTCAGTCTATGTTGTCACGTAGGACATGACCATTGTTTATTAAACAATTATCACCTGGACACCTGCAATGAAAGCGATGCGTTTTTAAAAAGAACTTTATTAAAACATATTTCAGTCGGAAGCACATATAAAAACGTATTTTGTAACATTCAAGAAAATATTCATAAGACATAAATATTAAAATGTTCATTTAGCACATCATCATGGGCACAGCACTGATTGTTCATTGCACTAGCTAACTAAAATAATTATCAATGGATACCAAGAACTGTTTAATTATGCAAAGCCAAACCTTTGACACTAATATCGCTTGGGTATGATTTTTGTTTACGTAAATACGGACACACGCTTGTTATGCATTATACTGGTAAGCATAACTTCATAACACGCTTGGAATTAATTTGAAAAGAAAATAATCAGGTATTTCTTTTATCATCTCTGGTTAGATAATTATTTAAAAGATTAAATTTAAATGTTCACACATGCACACTTATGATACGTAGAGTAAAAAAGCTGACTTGCTACTTTCGTTTTAGATTCGTAAATTTTCTTACTTTCATCTTTAGTTACTGTACTAGAAAAATTAAAGTCACATCCAATTTATGCATTTTTTGGATGCGCATTTTACATAGGACCTGCGTTTTTTTCAGGATTTTCACCCCAACTTTGGGGGTGCGTCTTTTACACCATTGCGGCCAATACTCGCGACTTTACGGTACTCAGGTGAGCGTTGTGGCCCATGGGCCTCTTGTTTTATAGTAGAACAACAATACATGTATAACAAAAAACCTTAAAATGTAGTTAAGTTGAAATATTTACATCCACAGAATATTATTTCCTTTATTTCTTACAAAAACCATTGCCGTTAATCAGTCCATAAACAACACTAAGCAAGCCACCAGCATAGATTTCTTAAGCAAGCTGTTCCATCAATTATGCATACAGTGACATACTCATCTATAATACAATATTTAACATATTTAATTTACTTTGTTTTTTTTTTTTATAAAGATATAAATATAAACAATAAAATGTCTTTGTTTGTTAGTACGGGAATGAACGTCGCAGCTATTGCAGAAAAAATTCACATTACCCGCTGATGCGGGTTATGTATTTTTTCTGCAACAGCTGCAACATTAATTCCTGTACTAACAACCAAAGAAAGCATATTATTGTTTAAATAAATTTACAAAGCACTATGTAGAAAGAACTATATGCGGTATATGCACATTTTTGCCCCCACAAAAGTCATATTTTGAAAATTTCTTGAAATGTGCTGAATTGTGTATATTGTGTGAGAAATCTAAATTAACAAAAAATATTAGAGTTTCGAAGTAGATTATTGGCAACTTTTGTTTCTATGACGTCACAAACTATTCGGATTTTGTGTTATTTTTCAGAAAAAGGAAAAAATGGACAAAATTTATTCAATTTTTACTATAGAATTTATAGAGTGCAGGCCTGCTCAAGAACAATAATTACATATTTCATTGATATTATCATTCTACACATTATATCAAAATATTGAGTTGGAGCAGACCTGCGCTCGATGACTTTTACTCAAATTATCGACGTAATATACACTTTTTCTGTATAAATCATTGAAATTTTGAATTTACGTCATCTTTCTGACGTCATATCTAACATATGGCGTCATGGCTTATGAAAATATTCAGTGCTTTGAAGTCTGCAGATATTCCCCTGTATCAGAACATAATTACATATTTCTCCGTCAAAGTTTGATTTTGGGGGCAAATATTGGTTATTACCGAATATAGTCCTTTAGAATAACTTTTAACATTCATGAAAACAAGAATTTTGCACCATATTAATTTGCTCAATTTATGAATATTTTCAGTTTGAAAAGTGTTGCTGTGAATTAAAACCTACTAAAAAAGTAAGTCCAAGCAGGAAATTGTAATAAATGAATACAAAGTTTATGTTTTTAAAAACAATTTAGTGAAGCTATAGGGATTTTACGAAGTTAATGTTATTACAATGTTTTTATTCTCTGCAGACTCCAGTGAAAGGACAATTTGCTGTTCCTAAGAAACTGACTCCCAAGAAGTTGGCTTCCAAAAGAGAGAGAAATCAAACTCGGACATTTACCAAGAAAGATATTTTAACACTTGTAAGTACTCTTCCATTTGATCAGTTGTCTGACTTTTATTTGGGATTATGTGATTAGAGATGTTATAGGTCATTGTACTGCAAAGTTGAATACAAGTAAATTTTGTTAGAATAAAGTATGGATAATTGTTTTCCTGAATAACAATTGTAAATGTCAATGTTAATTTCAAATGTAAATTTCAATGTCATTTTAATAATAATCAAATTTTATGTGTTTATGTGGAATATGCTATTTGACTTGCAAAATGCACCCTTAATATTTGTTAAATGATATAAATGTGTAGAATTCAACTATCTCTTGCACTCAGAAATCCACATAGATACCAACCGTTGTAGTAACATTTATTGTTTCAACCTGTTAAATTAATAAATATTTATTACAAAATAAATAGTAGTTCTTTAATTTCAGGACAGTATGTTGATAAATGTACAATTCTCATTATTATTTTAAACAAATAACTCGCACATAAATCATGTTTTGCCATTTTTGGAGGAAATGCATTTCAAACTGGATATCACAAGGTTAATAATAAAATCCAAAACTATATGGATGGATTGTAAAATCCCGTAACGCACACTGGTTACATCTTACTTTGAATTTAAAGTCTCCAACTTTGTGAACGAAAAAAAATTACAGTTAATCATGTATATACTTTTGATTAATTTTTGGATTCCAAGAATTTGGAATAATTTAATCTTTTTCCAGCATATACATGGTACTTGTGAATAAAACAAAGGGAAATTAATAACAATATGACTATATTCCTGCATTTTTCCTGCACTCTGGATTCTGTCTAATGTGACCAATTTTCACGGAACCACTGTATCTGGTTTTGACAAATTATGTTGTAGAACTTTGATCAGTTAATTTTGTGTTGTGGTATGCACAACTTTGGAAAAATTTAAATTGGTATTTTAAAAAAAATTAGAGCATAGTATGTTGAAATACTCCTGATACTCAGGTGACCATTAACACCTCTGATTCTTTTTTTTCAGAAGAGAAAAAGTGAAGAAGCAGCAGCTGTTACAGGGACAGACAATAACTCAACAGTATCACAGACTGACGACATGAAAATTCCCCAGACAACAACCTCCTCCTCAGGAGGCATAGAGAAGTCATCCACTGAGAAGCCTATGGAAATCTGTCCTCGTGATACAGAAATTCTTTATCAAAGAATCCCAAATGAAGAGTCTGGAGCAGAAGAAGCTCTATTATCAGATAAAGAATCTCGAAAGAAAACTGGAATACATACCGAGTCAAATCACAGTGATGAGAATGCACCATTACAAACAGATCATGATGTTCTAGCAAGTCCAGAGGATAGAATTCCTGTTTTAGCAGGTCCAGTGGACAGAGCGCCTGTTCTACAAAGTCCAGAGGAAAGGGCACCTGCACTAGCAAGTCAAGAGGACAGAGCAACTGTTCTACAAAGTCCAGAGGACAGGGCACCTGCACTAGCAAGTCAAGAGGACAGAGCAACTGTTCTACAAAGTCCAGAGGACAGGGCACCTGCACTAGCAAGTCCAGAGGACAAGGCACCTTTTCTACCAAATCAAGAGGTCAGAAAATCTATTCTAGCAAGGATAGAGGACAGGGGACCTGATCAAACAACTCCAGAGAAAACTTCACCTGTTCAAGCAAGTCCAGAGGACAGAGCACTTGTTTTACTAAGTCAAGAGAACAAAACAGCTGTTCTAGCAATTCAAGAGGACAGAGCACCTGTTCTACTACTTTCAGAGGACAGGGCACCTGTTCTTCGAAGTCAAGAGGCTGGAGCATTTATTGTAGCAAGTCATGGAGCACCTTTTCTAGCAAGTCAAGAAGATGAAGCTCATGTTTTAGCAAGTCAAGAGGACAGAGTACCCATTCTACCAAGTCCAGAGGAGAAAACACCTAAATTAGCAAGTCAAGAGGAGAAAACATCTGTGCTAGGAAGTCCAGAGAACAGGGTACCCATTCTTGGTAGTCAAGAGGACAGAGCATCTGTTTTGGTAAGTCCAGAGGACAGGGTATTTGTTTTAGCAAATCTAGAGGTCATGACATCTGTTTTAACAAGTCCAGAGGACAAAACACCTGCTTTAGGAAGTCCAGAGGACATGACACTTGCTCTAGCAAGTCAAGAAAACACAGGCCCTGTTTTACCAAGTCCAGAATACAGAGCACCTGTTCTTCCAATTCAAGAGGATGGAGCAAGTGTTCTAGTGAATCAACAGGCCAGAACACCTGTTTTAGCAAGTTCAGAGGACAGAACACCTGTTCCAGGAAGCCAAGATTACAATCCTCATATTTTAGCAAGTCCAGAAGACAAAATACCCATTCTACCAGGTCCAGATTATAATACACCTGAACTGGCAAGTCCAGAGGACAGAGCACCTGTTCTACCAAATCAGGAGGACACAACACTTGTTCTAGAGAGTCAAGAGGACAAGACATCCTTTCCAGCAAGTCCAGAAGTTAAGACATCCCTTCTAGCAAGTCTAGAGGACAGAGCACCTGTTCTGGCAAGTCCAGAGGACAAGGCACCTGTTCTAGCAAGTCCAGTGGACAGAGCACCTGTTCAAGCATGTCAAGAGAACAAAGCACACTATTCTGCAGATCAAGTGGACAAAACACCTTTATTAGAAAGTCAAGAGGACAGAGCACCTGTTCTAGCAAGTCCAGAGAACAAAACATCTGTACTAGCAATTCAAAAGGACAGAGCCCCTGTTCTATCATATCCAGAGGACAGAGTACCTGTTCTAGCAAGTCCAGAGAACAAAACATCTGTACTAGTAATTCAAAATGACAGAGCACCTGTTCTATCATATCCAGAGGATAGAGCATCTTTTCTATCATGTCCAGAGGACAGGTCACTTATTGAAGCAACCCCAGAGGACAGAGCACCTGTTCTAGCAACCATACCTAGTCAAGAGGATGAGGCACCTTCTGATGGAGATTTAGAAATGGTTTCTTGTCCAGTTACCATGCAGATTGCTACAAGAGAAAAAGCAGTGGATAGTCAAACTTGTCCAGAGACTGAGTCTTCAGTTCAGCAGGAAGATGCAGCACAAACAAAAAACATGAATACTAATTCACCTGACATAAGTAATTCATCTGAACTGAGTTGGTCCTCTCATCAGGAGCAGAATGCAGAGACAGTCAGTACTACAGTTAAGGAAATACTTAAGAAACCATGTGAACCTGAAATTGAGAAAGAAAAGAATTTAGACTTGTTACAAAGTTGTGATGAATATGAGTCTGCCACAGACAGTAATACAAGTAATCTTTTATATGAATCAGAAAGTAAACCTGATTTTGTTTCTCATGAGATGGTTACTACTGTATATGCTAATGAAGTGACTCTTTCAGCTGAAAATAACTTAGATGGATCTCGATTCGTTTTGTCAGACTCAATAGATTATACCTATGATGAATCTGAGATGGACAATGATTTCTTATTTGATGAAACTGATGACAGAGTTGTTGTAAATGAGGTGCAAGAACAGGAGGCAGATGTTGAGAAAGAGAATGAAAATGATATTCTGATGGAAAAAGATGTGGTAGAGGGTCTTCATGGATCTCCTCAGAAGCTGACTTCTCTGTGTGATGGAAATGGCCAACATCAAAGTGTAGAACTTCAACAGGTATTTACTTCTGAAAAGGATGGTATTTATACAAGTGATAAAGAAGAATTCAGAAATGCAGCATTAACTTTTGAAAAGTATGGAAAAGGTGCAGATCAAGAAGAATATATACAGACAGCAGTGACATCTGTTCTAGATCAAAGTGGTGAAGACTGTATTCAGGAGTTAACCTCTGAGAAGGATGTTTATGAACAAGATCAGAGTAAAGAAGAGGATGAACAGACAGTTACTTCTCAGAAGGATGTGTATGAACAAGATCTGAGTAAAGAAGAGGGTGTACACACTGTTACTTCTCAGAAGAAAATCCAGGAATCAGCAAAGAGTAATCAAGAGTTTGTAGAAGCAACAACATCCAAGAATAATGTGTATGAATCAGATAAGAAGATTGATGAGGGTGCACAGGCCTTTTCAGATCGGGGTAAAGAGGAAGAACAGGCATATTCCTGTGCTATTGAGAAAAATTTATATGAACCAAATCAGAGTAATGAAGAAGTTGTACAGGCAACAACATCTGAGAAGAGTTTTTATGAACCTGAGAAGAGAGTAAATAAACCAGATAAGAATGTTGAAAAATGTGAACAGGCAGCAGTAACATCAAAAAGCCATAATGAAAACCTAAATGGTATGTAGCTTGAATATAAAGAAAATTTTTTTTTTCACAATTAACTCATTTGAGACATAGGCTCAAGTAAGCATTTCTGATCATAATTTTTCTGCATGACTATGTATTTGTGGACTGATGCTGTAAAATTAATACTATGTACTAACAATCTTTATAGGAAACATAAAACAGCAAAAGTTTAAGAGGTGTGAAAAATATTAGCTTGATATATTGGTAATCTGCCGATTTATTCTCAAATACAAAGTCATTGCACTTGTGCCATTGAATTATCTTAATGTTCCACAACATCATCATTGCTTCTCGGTGTCCACTCTATTTGCCTCACCATACTTTTCTTGGTGAGATAATCTAGAATTAAATATTGATTGAAAGCGCTCTGGTATGTATGACTAGAATTTGCTAAACAGTTGATTTCAATGCACAATATTGTAAAGGGATATGTACAAAAGAGGGAGATCCTTTTCTTGACTTTAGCAGCTTAATTCTCTTGTTAGAGTTCAATTTCTACCACACACGAGCAATTTTACTTTCAACTTGAATGACTGGGCACCACGCTGCGAATCAGCATTCAACATGTCTTTCCTCTCTCTGAATCTTTTTTGTGGCATTTAAAAACAGTCATTTAAACTGATTTTGCCTCTTCCTGGCCTGTTTAAACATTTTCAAAGTCTAACAATGTGACTTTCTGAATGAATTTCAGGAAACGGTAACCCTAGCCCTTTAATTTCTACCGTCATGTTCAACCACTAGTTTTTTTTAACCACTCTTATATAGAATTTACGATAAGATCTCATACAAATTACAAAATGAGGTGAAAACTGTATATTGTACGAATTGTATCATGTCACATGAGTGACTTATCTTGACAAATTGGATTACAAATGCTCATATATCAAAAGGTTCATCACAAGTAGACTCATGGTCAAAATACATCGTAGTTTGAGGTTGGGCCGCATGGTAAAAACATTAATTTTTTATTCAAAGATAAAACGTTTAAATAATTAATTCTGATGATAGGAAGTATATTGTTACATAAATGTGTAAAAATTGAGAGGTTTTGATTTTATGGTGCCAGTCCACGAACTTTTTGATAATTGATAACCCCTTGTACATGGATGTAGTTTAAAACTAAGTTTCCAAAAAGAAGCATTGTGTATAGAGGGGGGAGGGATAATATTTTACAAATGGAGGGATATACATGTACACTACTCTTTTTTTCCCCAAAGGGAGATACAAGAATATGTAAAAAAAAAAAAAAAAAAAAAAAATAGCATGATTTTATATGGAAATCACCTTTTGGTGAAGATAGAAGACTAAGTTAAGATGTGTTCTTGTTTACTTTCAGTAGATGAGCCAGTGTTGACTATTTCTCCACAGAAAGTGACCAGGACCAGCTTTCTGTTAGCAGACTCTGTAGACTACAGTGTAAATGATTGGGTGGATGAAGATAAAGCAGAGAATGAGGAAGACAATGTGGAGGATAAAGATAGAGCAGAGATTGAGGAAGACAGTGGGGAGGATGCTGTACAGACAGAAACCAAAAATGTAACAGAAGAGTTCAATTGTACTGAAGGTGACGGGGAAGAAAAATGTTTTAATGATAACGATGATGGATTTAGTGAAGTATGGGAAGAAGAAGTGATGATGAGCATGGAAGATGAAGAAGTGAGGGAAGGATATCAGAACAAAGAGATGAAGACTGGGAAGGACATTATTAGTGAAGAGATGATAGAAAGTATAGAACAGAATATAGATCGGGATGACATGGAAAATGTCAGGAAAGGGGAAGATCAGAGTGAGGAGGAAGGGAAGAAGAGTGTGAAGAAGCAAGAAGAGGAGGGAGAACAATTAAATGAGAAAATACTAAAGGGGATGATAAACAGTGCTAGTGAATTATATGATGGAGTCAATGGAAAGGACAACATACAGAAAGTGAATTTTATACAAGATCTAGAAGAACTTGTTGATGAAGTAGGTGAAGATGGGAAGAGAATATTGACTGTGAGGGCTGTTACTGATGAAACAGACCAGGAAAAGGGGGATGAAAGGGTTGTCAAGGAGGAAAACAATGATTCAGAGATCGATGAAGACCTTAGAAATCCTTTGTCAGCAGATGATGAATCTCTAAGTGTGGATGAAAAAGATGAAGAACAGAAAAATGTGGTAATCAAAGCATGTGAAGATTTAGAGGGAGGGATCTCAGATACTGGTGAAGGAAACCCTGAAGTATATCCTTTGATGGATAATGATGTAAAGAGATGTATAGAATGGATTATCAAAGTGGTGGAAGACCAAATGCAAAGTCATCTCTCGGCATTAACTAGAATAGGGAACTTTGATGATACTGAAGAAAATGGTATCATGGAGATTAGTACAGACATATCTGATGAAGCTTCTCATCTGAGTCAGACGAAGTACTTGGGCACCTTGGAAAAAATAATGGTCCAGTCTGAAAAAGTTTTACCTCCAAATGAATCTGAAACCCAAGTACAGATTGTGGACACGTCGGACAAGGTACTGCAACATCAGACTGAGGACCCCAGACAGGGGGAGTGTATAATAGGTAAGTCTGACTTTAGAGATTCTATTGTGATTAAACTTTCTTTTCTCTCAAATACTGAAAAGAATGACATTTTCCAAGATATCAGAAGTGAATCTTCTAATCTCCTTTCTTTAATATCCTCATCTTGTTTGTTTTCATCCTCAGATCATCATTGTTTCTCTTGTAATGTCTTCAAAGTTAGATATTTAAGATTTAAAAAGCAGATTTTCTATAGCATGTTTTAAAAATCTTGAAGGTTTCAATTTTACAGTATGCTACAGGAAATATTTATTGCAAACTTAATTAGTCTCTTATATTTTCACTATGCTTAAAAATGCTTTTAGATCAAGAAAACGTTTTGTAAAATATTCTTTGACTTCAGTCTTGACTTTGACGTGCACACTAATTACAGTAAAGTTGCACATGTATATCTTGCCTAAAGTCTTATAGCAAATAATACAAATTCCTGTAGAAAAATTATTCAGGGGTTAACATTAAACCCTTTTTAAAGCTTACAAATAATTTGTGATAGTTTCACTATGAATATGATGAAGTGATAACATTTAGACTGAGGCCCTGATGGCTTTGGTGTTTTTCTTTAAGGATCTGTGAACCATCAGAGTGAAGACCATCCTAAACCTGTAGAGGATACAGAAGTAAAGAAGAATGTATTAAACTCCAGCTCTGGAGTAAGTTTTACCCAAGAAGCTTCACTGTCACACTCGCAAGTAAAAAGCCCAAACAGGCCCGATCATGTTACGGACGGTTCATGTGTGGAGAGAGATGTTTGTAGTGATGTAATATTAAGCAAAGGTGTGATTGATGAAGACATTCATATACACACAGATTTGAGTCCAGATATTGAGCACACCATTGAACAGAGGGAGAGGGTGAGTGAGATACAAAGCAGGTGGGAGGATGTGGGTCAGGATGGGAATGAGGAGACAAATGACAAACTGTCTCCTGACGATCAATGTAATCTGAAGTGTCAGGAAAAAAATACTGAAGAAGTGGAAAAGGATGAAATGTCTAGCAATAAGGAAACAGATTTACATAAAGATTGTGTTTTAAAATCAGAGTTGGAAGTTGATGAAGAACCAAATGGTGACATATATAGAAGTAAAGATTTAGAACATGAAGACATTATTGAGAATGACAAGTTAGACAAAGAAAAGTTGGAGAAAGATGAACAAGATGTAAACAATGAAATGATAGAGAAAATGGTTTCCAATGAAGGCAATGCAGAGACAGAATCTTGTGCAGACATGATGGAGCCTTTAACATCCAGTGTTACTTCTAGTGATCTAGTTTGTACCTTTTATATTGATCCTAATCAGTTAAGCTGTTCCACGGAGAAATCTAGTTCAGTAAGCAATAGTTTGGATCGTATAAATTCAGTTGGTTCAGACCAGATCAGCTGTCCAGCAGAAGAATCCGATGTAGTAAGCAATAGTCTGGATCTTATGAATACAGTTGCCTCAGACCAGATCAGCTGTCCAGCAGAAGAAATGGATGTTGTAAGGAATAGTATGGATGATCAATCAGTTGAATGCCTTCATTTAAGCTGCTGTGTGAAAGAATCCAATATGGTAAGCAGTAACCTGGAAAGCAAGTCAGATGATCTGCATCAGCTCAGCTGCTCCACTAAAGAGACTAATTCAGTAAGCAATAAACTTAATGATGAGTCAGCTCATCCAAATCAATTAAACTCGTCCACAGATGAATCTGATTCAGTGGACAAGAGTGTCAGTGTTCAGTCAGTTGATTCTTACCCGGTAAGATGTTTAGCAGAAGAAGCCGATCCAGTAAGCAATAACCTTGAATTTAGTAACTCGTCTGCTTCACATGGGTTAAAGTGCTCAACTGAGGAGACTAATTCACAGAATAATGTTGATGTTCATAAACTAAGCTGCTCCGCAGTTAACAGTAGTGCGGGTGTGAATTCAAATGATGGAACACCACTTATCTGCCCCACGAAAGAATCCAATTCAGGAAGCAGTGTTGTACATGTCAGTTCAGTTCATTCACACCAACTTAGCTGTTCAACAGAAAATTTTGATCCTGTAAGTAATTATCTGGATGATTCACATGGAAGCCATGAACTCCACTCTGTCAGAGAGAATATTCCGAACAAATCCAGCTCAGACAGTCAACAAGATGAAAGTTGTGATGCTGAGGACAGGAACTCTTTGTTTAACATTAAAGATGAGAACTTATGCTGTAATCCTGACAAAGGGAAGTCTGTGGAGAAACAAGATTTTGAGGAAATTTCAGACATGATTTTACCTGAAAATGCAGCGGAGAAAGACTCTGATATAAGGACTTCTTCAGTCTCTGAATCAAAAGCAACTAAGTGTGAGGTTGAAATAGGATCTGATGCTGAAAATTCTGTTTTTCCCACTGAAGATGCAGAAGGATACAGCCTGTCTGGAGGAAAAGTTCCAACCACAACCTTAACAGAAACTGTTTGTACAAACCTTTTAGAGGAATCTTTGGAATTTTCTTCTGAAAAACAGGAGCAGGAAGTGTTATCAAAGAGTCGGAAAAGAAAGACAACAGAAACTGAGACGCCACCATGTGGAGGTGGTATTCCAGCAAAGAAACAGAGACTCCTCTCTGAGGAGGAGATTAAACCAGTGAAGAAAATAGTTTCTAATTTCTTCAAAATTCGAGCATACTGGGAAGAGAGGAAAGAAACTGATAAGAAAGTTTTAAGATGTGATCTGGTGAGAAATCTTGTCAAACATTTCTTTCTGGTGAATTCCTCTCCAGATTTACAAGTGCAGAGTAAAGGTGAAGTAGAGAGTAATTCTGTGACTACTGGCTCTGCGAAAATGATTGTATTGGATGATGGTTTATCTGACAAAGACTCGAACAATAACAGTGGACAGACTGACCAACCAGGAAAAGGATTGACCAGTTCCTCAGCTGAGCTTCTTGACGAGAAAGTCAGGTGTGGTATTGATCATGAGTCTTGTCCAGATGAGACCCAGGAAGAAATCAGGGAAGTTTTAAGTCTGTCACAGGAGTCTTCGTCAACCTTGACCAGTTCTCAACAAAAAAACATTCCCATTTATCAGGCATCTATTGAACAATGCTGTGGTATTACCATGGAAATGGGTAGACCAAATTCTCAAGGGAAAAATGTTATGGACACTCAGGATAGTTCTCTAACTTGTGAAGTACAAACACAAGCAGATAATCTGGAAATTGATGTGGAACAAGACCAGGAACATGATTCAGATCAGACCTACTTGGATGAAGACAGTGATCAACATAAATATCCAGGAGAGGGTGACATACATATTGTGAGTGGTAGAGGAAGATCCATCACTACTGAGTCAGAGACAAGTCAAATGAGTGAATTACTTCTGGAAAATGTTGCTTTTCCTGATGTAGGATTAGATGTGGAGGAAACTGATGGTTCATCGCCTGAGAATTCCATCTCGGGAGTACAATCAGTAACAGAGGATTCCATTGGAAATGAAAGCTTTCCTCAGGTTGGGGAAAATTTTGAAGCAGCCAAAACAGAAGGTTCTCCAAGGAGTTTACATTCTTCTACCAGTATAGATTACACCGCAGAGTATTGTGCTGGAATTGTGGATTCATCTAATGACCTGCAAGAGCATGAAAGTGAGAGCTTTGAACAACAAAGTGACCGTGATGAAAGACTGATAAACAATAAAGATTTTTCTGAAGATGGTTCAGAAGATCACAAAGTGTTGGAGTCTAAGGCAGATGAGCAGAATTCCGAGGAGAGCAGAGGAATAAGTGAAGGTACTGTTGGATATAGTGTAGAACATCAGTCAGGGAGTAGTGAGTTTGACTCAGAAGCTATAGAAGTTCTCAGCACAAAGTCTACCAGTGAAAGCGAGTTAGAAATGCTGTATGGTCGGTCATCCAAAAAGCCTTGCAGATTATATAGCTCGTCTGACTCAAGTCAGGAAGTCACATGCACAAGTCCACGCAAGAAGCCTTGCAGATTACAAAGCTCTTCTGACTCGAGTCAGGAAGTCCCATGCACAAGTCCAAGCAAGAAGGATTCTATTATTTTGAAAGATGCCATTATTAAAGTGTCAAAATTGGAAGTCACTCCCACAAAACAGGAGGAATGTATGCAACAGTGCAGTTCCAAGGATGAAAATGATGATGAGGAAGATGGTAAAAAAGAATACAGGAGCCGTCTTCCAAGGCTTGAAAGTGACAGTGACTTGGAAATAAAAGAAGAGAAACCTGCCTTGTCATTGAAGTCTTTAGATGATATCCACATTTCCTTGTCTGATTCCAGTAGTGATGAGTTACCTGAGGTATTGTTTCTCAGAGAGGAGAAGGCTGATCCTGCTTTATCTGTGTCATATAATAGAGCACTGACTATAAAAGAGGAGCCCACCACCCCAGCAAAAACTCCTGCACAGTCTAAAGCTTCCCAGAGGTTGGAGAGGACACCAGTCAAATCTGCAGATGGTTCAAGTCCAAGAAAGGTACTCAGAAAAAGGTTGTCTTTGAAGAGGACACCATTGAAGAAGGAGAAGGAAGGTAAACTAACTCCTACACCCAGAAGAAGAAGTCCACGAAAACCAAAGAAGAATATGGACCAAAAACCAGTGAAAAGTATGTACATTGACAGTGACATAGAAATTGTCTCTGGGTCAGAGAGTGATACAGACTTTACTCCTTCAAGGCTGAAGTTAAAACAGGAAGTTGTCAGTGGATCAAACAGTGACTCTGACGGGGACTGCAGTAAAAGAAGACTCACTCAGTCCAGACAAGAGTTATCTGGACGTAGGAATCGCACAACGCTCAACTCCAACCAAACAGAAAATGAAAGGCCAGAGACATCTAATGAACAAACGGACAACGAAAAACCCATGCCATCTAATGATGAGGAGGATGGAATAGAGAGGATTTATCCATTACATGAAAACGATGGAATTAAGAAGATGCATCCATTACAGAAACTGTCCTCTTTGGAAAGTCAAGGTACTTATTTATTTTTTTTTTATGTATATAAGAAAAAAATGTCATAACTGCAAGACCATGTAAATCATATTGAAGCATCCACATGTTGTGTGGATTCAGACCTTTTTAGACCATGATATGGGGTGACAATTTTTTCATGCTAATATAACAATTTTTTTTTAAAAAATCTGAGGAGGAACAGCAAGGCTGAAGTTATTCAGGTGAGCATTGTGGCCCATGGGCCTCTTGTTTGTATACTGATCCTGATTTTTAATTTTGTTTTTTTCTGTTAAGTTATTTTTTTTTCTAATAATGAAGACTTGAATTTTAGGAGTGAAACGGTTCACCGCGGTATCGATGCACCGCGGTATTTTTTCTCGGTTTGATACACGGTGCAAAATCTCTAATTTTCGGTTCGGTTCATTTTTCGGTCGGGATCGTTATTCAGTCGGGTTTGGCATAAGGTATAACACGTTACTCAGAATAAATAAGTATAGAAAACGTAAATGTTTGATGATTGATAGCTTGTAAAATAATTTTTGACAGTCAAATAATTTTAATCAATTTCTTCTAGTGAATTTGCAAATAAAATTCGTAAAATATGTGACTAGATTTAGAAAAAGAAAGCATAAAACTACGTAGAATTTGTTTCCTTCTATCAAAATGTATCGTATCGAAAATAACCGAACCGAGACAAAATTATACAATACGTATCGAACCGTGAAGGAGGTGTATCGTTTCACCCCTATTGAATTTAGAAATTAGTTTACTGTGGCCTTACCTGTAGTACACTTGTAGATACTAAATGAAATCTCTATATATCACTGACAAAATAGTAAATGTGATTTTTTTCCCTCTAGACTCTTTAGATTTAAAAAATAATAGCAATTTAGCATTCTTTTTAAAGTTTGCTGGATAATTACTATGGAGAAGTTGAAATCCATTTAATATCTTAATCTGTTGTGGCGCATTGGATGTTTGGGTGCTCTTAAATGCTCTGATACTACAGTACAGCTCACGAGTATCTTCCGGAAAACACCGGCCACGGCGGACCCTTGGTCCACGCTTTTGCGTGGACTTTGAAAAATGTCGATGTCTTTGATGTTTCGTTTTCAGCGCAAAGCTGGCGACACGGTGTGTACACGGTGGGACACAGTGCGTTTGCTCCTTGGAACTCCGTGCTGGTTAATTAACGTTAAGTGGTTTGAAATTACTTTAAAATAATTCATTGAAGATTTTAGAATAAAAATCATTGAAATGCATATCATCCGCAGCATGCATTTTCCTACTTTCGATATTGTACTGACGTGTCAATGAATTTAACAAAGACGGAATTTTACTATGCAGTCAGCAATCTTGTGTTATTTGGAAGATATCTTCTTAAATATTATTTTGTTTGTAAAACAAAAGCTAAATCTAAATTTAAAAAAGATAGGAAAGGAATATTCTGCATTTGTACTATGCTCAGGAAATCCATGTGGAATTGTCAATTGATTATCTTATCCGACGTACTTTTTTTTTAAATTATAAATTACTGTAGAAACTGGTGTATATGTAAATAATTACTACATCAAAATGCGATACAGAAAATATATTGTTTAATTTAATTTGAATCGGATGAAAAAAATAGCTATGAAAAGATTGACTTAAATTTCCGTCCTGTAATGGAACCCATATTGAGATGAGACCCAATGTAGTCTCTGTGTAATGAGTAAATCTCTGCCCAGCCCATCAGAAAAAATGAAATGTTGATATTCAGGTATTGAACATGCCCCACTTTTTCATCTGTGTCTGTTTGTAATCGTTCAGAATTATGTTTAAAATATAAACCTTAATATTTAACTTGCATTTTGTGTACAGATCGAAGCATTATGGGCACAACATTTTTCACAAAACTTGTCGCCAAGAATAATCACAATATGTAAACGATAAGATGTAAAACGTTATAATTATGCTCAACAATAATGTCAATGACGTCGATAATGGAAAAAATTTCCAATGATACTATTCAATGAAAATGATATTTCTGCAATATGTTCTATGTTAAACAATGATGTAAAAAGCCAAACAGTTTTCTTCCGTAACATGTATGAAAAAAAGTCTATAATTGTTAATAGGTTCACTGCCTAACTAAGCATATGCATAGGAGATATGTAAAACTACATTGAAGATTTTATATTTTACTAGTACCTAGCGGAGACTTTTCAAACCATTAAATAAAAGCAAGCATACTGTATATGTGCTCTCCCTATATGTAATAACAGCCCCCCCCTTTCCATAATGAGTTTAATGGATAATTTCTACACGGACATGTTAAAAAAAGAACAATATTTACATATGCCTATTTATTGTATTACCTGTCCTTTTTAAGGATTTATTCTAATCCTTTTCAAAAATAGCATTTTAATGATAAATAAAATCAACGAAAGAGAGACAATTTTACGACATAGAGAGTTATGATTTCTTTTTTCTTCATTTCACCAGTAAGTTATGTTACAGTATATAACGACTTTATATAACCTAGATACAGTTGAATAATATTCGTTTGTAACTGTAACTTGTTTTTTAGAAATATGCTGCTGTACTAAAAATTCTATAAACAATTAAATAAATACTAGTAGTTGTTTATTTTTCAAGTTCCAATTAACTTCCCGAAACGTGTAAGTTTCGAAGCCAGTTGAGGTGTATAGTATACACTCGTCTAGAGTTTCAACATGTGAATAATGTCCCAAGGGCCACAGCTACTAATATATTTTTTTTCTGAACAGGTGTGAAATATATTAGCCAAGGAGCGACTCCATACATACAGGAGAAGTTTCTGCAATTCATCGCACGTGGATTCCGTGTGTGATGCGTTGAACTTGTACCTAAATTGCACCGATTCTATTTCGTTTCGATTAATATAAACTGGACGTGAACTATAATTTCTTTGAAAAAAAATAAGAGAGATACATTATATGTAAATGAGAAAAAAAAAGAACAGAAGGATGAACCTGAAAGTAAAATCTCTCTCTCTCTCGTATCTTAACATTATAAAATATGGAATTCAAAATAATTTTTAGTTACTACGAAAAAAGTGAATAGTATATAATTTGTAAAAGAATTTTCAGAATGCTGCATTGGCAGTTCAAGCGATTTTTTTTTTACTTTTCGTACTGATCGTAGAAGATTAAGTAGTAATAAAAAAAATATCCAGGTAGAAATACTGACACTTTACATATTTGACAGAAATAAACGTTCAAACATTGATTTTTTTTTTTTACATTTATGTCTCTTAAATAATGTCAAGTTTAATCAATGGATGCATACAACTGCTTGATTTTCATGTGAATTTGCCGATTGTACGACTACCAAACTGCGTATAAGATTTTTTAGTGAATGCTACGTGTTTTGCTTTTTTTTTCTTGCATGTACATGTACTTTGTAGCAAATTAGTATCTTCATTGATAAGTGGTCTACACTTTTTATTTTATTTCTGCAAAATAAGACTTTATTCATATACCATATGAATATCATAATATACTGACTCGACATTTTTTTTCACTATTATTATTTACGATGTAGTGATCAGATGATGCTAAATTAATTATCTGATATCATAGGTATTATTTGTAAATGCCTTTACTGTCAATACCTTTAATACCATATTATTTCACAGAGAAAATAACAACTAAAATTATCGATCCGTATCTATGTTTCACATTGAATAATTATTAAGTTCAAAGACAATGTACCTGTATTTGGATTTGTACCTGCGCACTTATAGCATACGTCAGAAATATATTAATTTGCACAATCGACATGTAGTTGTTTTTGTTTTCAATTGAATATGAAATATGAATTCAACAGAAATCAAAATAAATTTATTCAATTGATATATACATGTATACCGTCAACGGTGAACCAAAGTCTACACTGAACGCCGCTGTTATGTTACGACCTTACATGTATGATAGTGAGCTGTTTGAATTAAATAATTTTTCATTTACTATTTCTTTCTAGCAATTAAACCAACATACCTATAATTTCAATTCTAAAATTATTTTTATAAACAAACCATTTTCTTCCGTAGTTTTCTTGCACGGTGGATCACGGAAGGTCACCCAATGAAACGGTAATGTCCACGGTGTGACACGGTGCGTCTTTGGTGTAATCGCAATATACGCACATGGTGGAACTCTGTGCACACGGTGTAACACGGGGTATTTTCCACCGTGTGTTTTCCACGGTGGGGTGGAAGAAACTCGTGAGCTGTACTGTAGTTGCAGACTCCGACATTTCTGTATTAAAGATTCATTAATCTAAACTTGGTATTTTAATCAAATGAGCACACAGCTACTTTCTCATCAATAATATTTTTATTAGTACTTAAGAACAAAGATTTGTTCTGAACTGAGAGCAAATTGATTTTGTAGATGCTGGGTCTATGTCAGATATCTTCCAGTCAGAGGAGTCCAAAGATGATGACCTCATCCAATCAGGTAACACTGATTTCTTCATCCACATTAACCAATTATGTTAGGGTGATCTGTTTATCCACATCAACCAGTCATGTTAGGGTGATATGTTTATCCACATCAACCAATTAGGTAAGAATAATCTGTGCATCTGCATCATCCAGTCCTTTTGGGTGATCTGTGCATGCACATCAACCAATCAGGTAAGGATAATTTATTCATTCAACCAATCAGATAAGGGTACACTCAGTGATGAGTTAAAGATCAAGTTTGGGTATTGTTCTGCTCCACTGATTTTTGAGGTAATTATGGCCTATGTAATTTTTAGCAGTTTTCTGCACTTTTTTTTCTAAATGCTTGGAGATATTGAGCTGATCTATAGACCAATAAACTTGCTTGTTATGAATTTGTTGTCGAATGGCATAAAATTCACAACAAGTGAGTTTATTAGTCTGTAGAGACGACTGGTAAGGAGATGGATAAAATATACAGATTGATTATAGAATATATCTAGAATTAGGGAATGAAAGGTAGTTGATTGACAAATGCTGGAAAGTGGTGAAATACATCCCCAAAGCGCAGAAAATCTTGCGCCGTAAATTGCACAATATTCGCATTAAGGGATCTGTAGTGTTATGGTCAAAGACTAAAATATAAAACCATAACGCTACAGTTCTGCAGCTATTTAACAACATGATCTTTAATTTTAGAAGAAAAGGAAAATTGGGAATACACATATAACACATTCAATTGGGGAAAAGGTGCCTCTTTTGAATGGGGAATGTGGCCCCCAAATACGGACAATCAAGAGCCCTGCATCCTGACTATTTGTCACAGATTCTTCTTGTGTGGTTTCTTAATACCTGTGCTGTTCTCATGATCACCTATGAAAGGGATTTCAATTCACCCTTAAGTTCTTGAATTTTTCTGTTCTTTTTTGTAGATGGTGAAAAAACAATAGTGGAAAATAGAGAGAAAGGAGATGAGAACAAAGGACAGACTCCACAGACCACAGCTGATAATGGTGCAGAACATTCTAATGATGTATCAGATGCCACAGAAAGAGCTGGCTCAGCAGGTGTAGCAGAAAAAAAGCTTCAGGATAAAAAAGGGGCAAGTGAAGGTCCAGAAAAAGAAACAGCAGATACAATGAAAGAAAATTTACAAATGGCAGATAGCAAACTTGATAATATGGAAAGGGATAATGAGGATGTACTTACAGATCCATATAAAGACAAAGTGAAGGATGGAATTGATATCCCAGACATTGATCACTATGGTGAGGATTATGTGGCTGACACTTGTCCTGAGGAGAGTGAGGAGGAGACATGGGGAGTACCCCCTCCTTTGTCACCATACTGTTCCCAGGCCCTGTCTCCTCTTATTCCAGATGCAGGATCAGAAAATGCTGGACTGGAGACCAGCACAGACGTGGGGGATAGTACCAGCAAAGCTAGATCACAAGAAAAGACACCTCAAAAAACTCCAATAACAATGGAATTTGACAGTGACAGTGAGTTTTCTGAACCTGAGGTCAATTTTGATGCATTGAATTCGCCTGATGTAAATCTTCACAGTGGAATGGGTGAGGAGAATATTGATTCTGATGGAGACACCAATGATATTGGAGGCAGTGAATCTAACAGGTTGATGGAAATGGAATATGATGATGATTTACCAAGCATTAGTCGGAAGAGGAAATCTCAAGATGATAGTGATGATTTCATTTCTACGCCAAAGAGGTCAAAGACAAAGAAAAGCAGAGACAAGGCCAAAGACATCAAAGGAATGACCCTTGGTACACAGGCTGCTACCAACTTATCGAGTGATCAGAAAGGATCACGTGATGTGAAAAAAAAAACATCGTCACAGATGTCAAAAGTCAGACAACTAATGCAGAAGCTGAAAGCTAAGAAATCTGGTGGGCAGGTGGTGGAGGAGAGTCCAGATCCTGAAAGGTTCCCTGTACCCACCAGATCTAGTCAGGAGACACCAGGTGATGTTCCAAGCTCAAGTCGGGCCCAGAGAAAGCTTTTACTGGATACTGGCAATTCGTATCAGACTGCTCAGAATCACATTCAAAGGTAGGTGGAAAATTGCTGCATAAGGTAGTCCAATTTTTGGCAAAGATTTAAATGCTGTTAATTAAACTATACATATTTGCATTAAACTAAAAATATTGATTTCCTGTTTAAGATGCAGAGACATTTTGCAGACACTGAGGAGAGAATTTCAGCAGTCCCCTAGATTAATAGAAAATCCCAGAGTAATACAGTGGATGTAAGTGTGAAAAATATATCATTTTTTGTCTGATTTATTTTCACTACTTCTTATTGTAAAATGTCTTCTTAATGTCAACACAGGAAGAATATGAAGGAGCTGGAGTCCAAGTTAGAACTGTCTAAGACTGTGATAGCTGTAGTGGGGGACACAGGGTCGGGGAAGTCCTCCCTAATGAACGCTTTACTGGACCAGCTGGACATTCTACCCACGTCAGGAATGCGGGCATGTACAGCAGTGGTGGTGGAGGTGGTCAATAATCCCAACAACACAAAGTATGAGGCAGACATCACCTTCCTCTCAAAACAGGTAGGTTATTCTAGATTTCATTCTGTGTTCCAAACGTTCAGATGATTTTTTTTCTCCTTTTATCTCAAGTTGAATTGAAATCATTTTCTGTTAGTTCTAAGAGGCAAGTCTTTCAGGATCTAACCAAAAGTTTATTTTTCTACTTTACATTATGTCATTTTCTAACAAATTCTTGCAGTAATCTTACAGGTTATATTTTATATTGCAAAGTTAATAAAACTTTGAAATAGTGTTGACAGAAAGTAGAACTACAATAAAACAAGATTTATTGTTAAAGATTTTCACCCTGAAGAAAATGTCTCTGGTCTTGTAATGCTTTGTCCGTCTCTGCAGGAATGGCACACAGAACTCCGCCTATTGTTGAGGGATCTTACTGATGTAAATGGGAAGATCAAGAAGGGAATTCCAGATCCCAAGTCCGAGGCTGGTGTGGCATTCCTTAAGATTAAGGCTGTTTATGGAAAGATTGACACATATGATGTACTCATTCGTCAATCAGTAGTCACCAGGTGGCTTGACAGAGTCCGAACCATTGCAGAATCAGATGTGAGTATACAGTATTGCTGATTAAACAAGATCAACTAATCAGGATCTTCATGAAGGAAAAGGAATAAGGAAACACCTGTTTTTAGCTCACCTGAGCTTGTCCGTCGTCCGTCTGTCTGTCTGTCCGTCAATCTGTAAACTTTTCAAATTTTTGACTTCTTCTCCAGAACCACTGGGCCAATTTCAACCAAACTTGCCACAAAGCATCCGTAAGTGAAGGGGGTTCAAGTTTGTTCAAATGAAGGGCCATGCCCTATTCCAAGGGGAGATAATTAAGAATTGGAGAAAATTTGTTGTCATCTTTTAAAAATCTTCATCTCAAGAACCATTGGGCCAGAAAAGTTGAAACTTAGGTGAAGCCTTCATTACATAGTGAAGATTCAAGTTTGTTCAAATCATGACCCCCGAGGGTAGGGTGGGGCCACAGTGGGGGATCAAAGTTTTACATAGGAATATATTGGAAAATTCTTTAAAAATCTTTTCAGGAACAGGAAAGCCAGGATTGATATGGAAGCATCCCCAAGTTTTGTAGATTCAAGTTTGTTCAAGGCATCCTCCAGTAGTAAGGTGGGGCCATAATGGGTGATCAAAGTTTTACAAAAGAACATATATAGGAAATATCTTTAAAAATCTTCTTCTCAAGAACAACAAAGCCATGATTAGTCATATTGATAAGGAAGCATCCGCAGGTAGTGTAGATTCAAGTTTGTTCAAACATCTTTAAAATTCCGTTTTCAAGAATAGCAAAGCCATGATTAGTTATTTGAATATAGAAGCATCCTCAGAAAGCATAGATTCAAACTTCATTCAAAACATGGCACCTGGGGGTAGGCCTAAGGGTATGCCTAGAACAGGCGATCAAAGCTTTACATGTGAATATATAGGAGAGGAAATCTGCTGACGAAGAACAGCAGGGCCATATTGACTCAGGTGAGCATTGTGGCCCATGGGCCTCTTGTTAAGATATATATATTTTTTTGAAAGGGAAATGCTGAAAACATGTAATTGCAGACAGTCATATACATACATGTATATCTCAATGGATTTTATAACCTTACTGTCTAGTCAATGGGTTAAGAAATTTGAAAAACTATTCTGTTAACTGTATTTTACAATAAAATTGTTATTTTTCAACGAAAAAAAAAAATAAAAATAAAAATGGCATATTTTGATATGAAAAATTATACATGTACATGTATCAATCTAAAATTAAACTCTCATCCATAACAATGTCAATTTTATGGTGAAACTTTCTCCTCTTTTGTTATACTTCCTTACTTTTACTAACATACAATATTCTTGTTAGAATAAGTTAAATTTATTGATCTGATGCTGGCATTGAAAAATTCTACAATCTTAGAAAGAATTTTAGCAAATTTTTAATTTTTGTAGCCTAAAACCTTCAGGAATTCCATCGATAAATACATAGAAACTGCTGACCCTGGTGCTGGGGGTCAGTATTGGCCAATCGTGAAGAAGGTTACAATTCGTTTACCTAACTGTGATGCCTGCAGTAGTGGAGCAGTACTTGTGGATCTTCCAGGTGTGAGGGACTCGAACGCTGCCCGAGATAAAATAGCTCGAGATGTGAGTGGGTTTTCACTTAAAGAAGTAATTCTAGGCATAATCAATTCAGTGAGCTTTGTCATAAGTACAGTCCCTGAAACGTTCTACTTTCCCATTTTTCCGTTCGCTCACCGTTCGTTCACCGTTCGTTCAGCGTGCGTTCACCGTTCGTTCACCGTGCGTTCACCGTTCGCTCTCCGTTCACAGTTTTGTGTTCACCGTTCACCATGCGCTCGCGTTCACCGTTCACAAAGCGTTCAGCGTTCACAAAGCGTTCTGTTCACTTTGCGTTCACCTTGCGTTCAGCGTTCACCTATCGTTCAGTTTTCATTGTCATTCGGAACTCCGAAGTGAAAGGACTTATCTTTTTGTAGGTTAGTAGTTACAGGTTTTTTAATTTAATAACTTACATATCGTGTTTGAAGAATCATTATTTCATGGGGGAAAATATCTACGATATATATTTTTATTATTCTTACTTAGCTGTTAGGTTATTTATTAAATTACTCTGGAAAATAAATGTTGTTATAAGCACATTCTGTACCTATGTAGAACGATGCTGAAATATTAAATTTAACTAAAGGCAATGTGCAAGTACTTCAAGCACTGCAACATTTTGTTGTTTTGTTAAAGACGACAAATCGTTAATGGAGATATAATTATTCAAGTCAAATAATTACGCAGCAAAATTACGAAAATATTTATTTATAACACATTTTTTTTCAATTACTACAGAAAATATGATAGAACTAGTTCTGAGAGTTATACATAGTACTGCGGATATTGTATTAATTTATTATCTTTAGAGCGAATTAAATTGATGGTGTGGTTAAAGGAAATATTTATTTAAAATGTAATGCACTACAGAATTTTCTCTACTATAATATGTAAAGTCTATAGTTATAGAGAAAAAAAAATCTTTCTTCACCCTAACTTTGTATGTTTGTCATTCGATATGATTAATACCCCCCTTTTCCCCCTAAATTGGTTACTTAGTCAGTATTGTATTTCCAGAATATTTTAATTAACATTTTAAAAAAAAAGTTAAGGTCTTTTTTAGAACAAAAATTTCAGTCTCAAAACAAACTAGCATCTAAAAAAGTCACAAAACAATAGTAGTTCAAAATGTACACGTGTCGGCGGTGGTATTTGGAATTGGCAGAGAGTATGTTTCAAATTCAAGTGTTAATGCCCTATGTATTTTATTCAATTATTATTCAAATGTTGGAATCAAATCTAGAAATGATAAAAATAAATGTTATAACTTAAATACTCGCACTTCGTCTTCGATGTGACGAAACTTTCACACCTGCACAGTGTCGAATGATTTTGATTGACAGGACAAGCACGTGGACTTCGTGTGAACTTGAAGCAGGAAAATAAAAACGAGTATGACTGTCAAGCAAATGGATTTGATTTGTTGATTAAAAAAAATGTTACTTTCACTGTCTGATATACTTAGAAAAAAATTTCCAGAGTTTGATATAGGTACAAACATGTAGTGAAGCCTGAAATGGGAGGGGGGGGGGGGGGCTAGCTAAAACGGAATATTTCTCTCTCTCTCTCTCTCTCATTTGTCTGTTTAATAAAAACTATAACAGCATATTACTTGAATATCAAGTTCTGAAAATTGAATTTATAACAAATAATATGAATATGTATCTTTGTATTATCTTGTCCGAGTATAATCACGGCCATCTACATATAAATGAAGAAGTCTGCTCAGTAAACATGGCCGTAGGAACCGAGGGGGGGGGCAAGGGGGGCGTGCCCCCCTCCCCAATAATTTTGCCGATATACAGATTATTATAGTAAACATAGATACTATATGCTTGTGCCTCCGCAATAAAAAGTCTGATGATCTTCTTTTTTTTTTTTTTTTTTGCTTGTCAGGAAATTTTTAGTAGTGCCCCCTCAACTATCAACTGAAAATGTATGGCTGTGCCCCCCCCCCCCCCCCCCCCCCCGTATAAATGTAAAACGTCCACTGACCTATGTAATTATTTTTTTTTCATTACTTTACACGAAATTGCCTTAACACGGAGATATATGAATGGATGTTACAACCACTTTAATTCTTTCTATAAGTCAGAAGTTTTCTCTGAATTGTTATCAAATAAGAATAAACATTTTTATTTTCCAACTAAAAAAATATCTCTTATACTTCAGCGTTCGGCAACAATTGCAATGTTTTGATGTGATAAAAATCGTGTGATTAAAAACTTAATGTGCATGCATCGTCTTTCTCAGGACAATTTTGGAGACTTTATTTTATTGACTTATTTATTCATTCATTTATTGGTTTACTTATTTATTATTGATTTATTTATTTATTTATTGGCACTTGACATAATAAAACAATAAAATAGTTTCAATGCAAGGAAAAGATCAGAGGCATTCCGAATATATCGTTCATCTTGCATTCACCGTTCGTTCACCGTTCACTTTGCGTTCGCGTTCTGCGTTCGCTCACCGTTCAGCGTTCACACATCGTTCACAAAGTTGCGTTCAGCGTTCACACATCGTTCACTCACCGTTCGCTCTGCGTTCGTTCAGCGTTCGTTCAGCGTTCGCTCACCGTTCAAGGTGGAAAGTAGAACGTTTCAGGGACTGTATATTCTGATGGGATGTTGGTTTTCAGAGTTAGATGAAAGACCCTTTGAATGTTTTCTTTTAGCATTTGAAGAATTGTACCGCTGTGTGGGTTGTGTCCTCCATTCATCGGGCCATTGATGATAAGACAGCCAAGGATCTACTGGGAGAGAACTTCCGCAGACAATTGTTAATGGATGGACAGTATGGAAATATAGCGTTTATCTGTACAAAGACAGATATCATCAAAAACTCGGAAATTATCAGGTCTGTACTCCAGTATTCACTAGTTGTTTGTTCTAAAATACTGGAGGGCTAAAAATTTAAGAATTTTTTTGACAAAATTTCTTTGAACTGCAGAATGACTTCTGTGAAATTTACCAATCTCTTGTTTCAGTTTGATTTCTGTGTGTAGATTAGACAAGCTTGTATTTATTATTTTGAACGCATGTAGTTCTTGAGGGAAAATACTGGCTGATAATAATTTTAAACTTTGTTATTTTTAGAGGGCTGCATCTTGAGAAGGATGTGCAAGCTCTTGAGGCGGAGATAAATCGTCTGGAGATGGAGAAGAATGATTTAGAGGTCAGCAAAACCACCAACAAGCAGTGTATAGACCAGATGAGGAAGGAGAACCGAGAACTGAGGCAGAACATTGAGGAGATTGAGGAGTGCCGGAGGTCAGAGGACATTGATGGGAAAGAAGATTCACAGGAGGTGAGATATTACAGAAAACTGTATACCAACTTCTACTTAAGCACCTTTTATTTCTGAATCACCTGTCTATCCACATCTTAAATTGAGCAAATGAAGAAACATTCTACACTAATGCTTAATTATCTAAAAAAGAAAAAAGAAAGAAAAGGAGGGGGGGTTCCCAGTGAGAAATGCTAGTAAAAAGATGGCCGCAAAACTTGCAGATATATCTTGCACGCAAATAAAAGCTGCCTCACAGGGACAACTGTCGGGGAAATATTACAGAGGCTGGTGATTTTCACCTATGTAGAAAAATATTCAGAAAAAATAATGAAAATTTTATTATCTTAGAAATCTCTGTGTATTAAATAGCAAAGTTTAGGTTTTTAGAAACTTAGACCTTACAGTATACAGGAAAGTGAGATTAGCGCCCTCCTGCGATATTTACAGGTCCAAGAAATAAAGGATGTGCTGGTTGACAAGCAAGAAGCAATCCGAAAAAATAAAGAGCTGATTCAGTCGTACCATAAATCTATCACTGAAGCTGATAACACCTGTCTACAGCACGAGATGACCATTGGTCAGAAGAGAAAAGAACTTTCCAGCTTGTGTGCCAAGGCCAGGAATAACTACTCCAAAAAGGAAATTAAAAGGGATTTCAAGGCTGGACTAAGGGTAAATATATATTCAAGTTTGTGTTACAATAGAATGAATTTTCTCTTATATAATATAATTCCTTTTCATTATAAAAAAGGAAGTACATGTACATGTATGTGTGTATTAGATATGTACTGTAAATGAATGTATAATCTAAGAAAATTTTTTGTCATTATTGAAATATCATTATTTTCCACACAGGAAATGAAGAGGAAGGCCGGGATGTCTAACGTAGAGGAGATGGATGAGGATGATTTATACAACAGCGAAGATGATGATGAAGATATTGGATCTTCAGCTGAGAACCTGAGGGTGTTCTGTGTCAGCGCCAGTGAATACCAGAAAATGAGGAACATCATCATTGACGATGGACCCCCTACTGTAAGTTATCAGGCATCGCTCTGTTTTAATTCAAGATTTTACAAAATTCTATTTAACTTGCATACTTCTGATTTAAAAAGCAGAAGAATCATTGAAAGCCATTTTTGTGTGGCCCAGATGACTTCCCAATATTTTAGTTCTAGAAAATTTCAGCACAATTTTATTGCATTTTCAAATCAACTTGGGACGTGTGTTGAGACTTTGAAAGAGTTTAATGGATGATGAGGAAAGTTTTGACATTACTATTCCAGGTGTTTAGTATGGAAGAGGACACTCAGATTCCGGCCTTGCGGTCGTACATCCACCAGATGACTGCTGTTCGACACCGAAGCAGTATAGAGAGGATTCTACAGAGGGTGGCACAGTTTGTGTTTGATGTCCAGAATTATCTCACTGAAAATGGAACCATTCAGGTTATAATCTATAAAAGCTAAAAATTCACTTAGTCTTGATAAAACTAGTGTTAATGTTTTTGAGTAGATCCAATGTCTTGCTTACAACTTAATTTCATCATTACTTGCTTAAGTTGCATTGTCAAAAATAAATTACAGAATTAATAATAAAATAAAATAAATTAAAAATCAAAATTAAGTTTTAGAAAAAGTAAGAGTAAGCAGACCTGAAATTTAGGATGCATTGTTCTTATAATAATATATTTATCAAAAACTTTCCCTACAATATTCAGACATTTAGCCGATGGAGTTTTTATTTTTTTTTCCCCTTTCAATAACAGACAAAGGGAGAAAGACAGAAATCACAAAGTGCAATTGTGCAGAGGACACAATTACTTGTGCAGAAGTTTGATTCCTTGATAGCAGATCTACAGCAGGATATAGAGAAGGCGTTCTCCAATCAGATCAGACCTAAGCTAGGAGAGGGTATCACCGCAGCCTCAACAAAAGCCAATGAGCAAGCAACTAAATGGGGTTCACCGGTATCATCAATTTAACATTTAGAATGAGTTAACTTTCAAAGTATTTGCTTAATTAGATACATTGTTGAATAAATATGGCAGGGGTTGAAATTTAACATTTAGAGTGAGTGAACTTTTAAAGTATTTGATTAATTAGATACATTGTTGAAAAAATATGGCAGGGGTTAAAATTTTCCTGGAAAATTCACTAGCCCAGGCTACTGATCAGTAAAAATTTACACGCCCATACCTCAAACTAACTAGCATAATTTTTTATACAAAATGAAAACAACACGAGTAAAAGCTCAAACGCTTTGGTGATTGAAACAAATTAAACTAGTTCTCAGTCAAAAGAAATCAGTCTCCATGGAGATAAATAAAAAAATTTTTTCTGGTCTGCTAGTCCGACGTACTATCATTACATATAAATTAGCTAGCCCGAGTCTTAAAACGATTAACTACTGTATATTTTAACCCCTGAATATGGTGGTCTTAAAATTTAAGAAAAGTGATAAATACACTGTATTTTATCTGATTATAAGAACATAGTCCATACTTAGATCAAAGCAAACTAAAAATCTTCAGCTATATATAGTAAATGTACATGTAGCTGCATAAGGCCATGATAAAAAAAAAATTGGATTTTCATCCTGGCAAACCCTGATTTTTTACCATGGCCTAAATTTTTTTTTTTTTTTTTTTTTTGTATTTTTCGAACAAATTTTAGAGATTCATTTTGATTTTGATCGAGATTTGTATTCAACTAACCATTCAACTTTTGTTTTAAATCTCGCAAATATCAGTTTGATTCGACAGCTAACAAGATGATGTGTGCTGTAATTTGTATTAAGCAAGGATCACTGGTTGTGAAAGATTGATGGAAGGCGTATAGTAAGAGATATGTACACTTAAATGCAACTCTGCAATGACTTTTCATTAGGCATAATATATAGATCTGCATTGTTTGATGAGGTCAACAAAATATCCAATCATACAAAGAAATAAAAAGTAAAGTCCACCCAACCCTTGATTCATAAAAATAGAATTGGATGAGAATAGGAATATTTTTATTATGGCATAATTGTTTCTGATGGATGTTGCAGAGAATCTAGAAGATAATGATGTTTTTAAGTTAATCCCCTTATTCTCATTTTAAAATGTTCAGTTTATAATTTCCACTATCTCTGTGTGTGTGCCTTAAATGCTCTAGTAATCCCTGTCTGTGAAAAATCTTAATTGCACTAGTTTGTTCTTTATGTGCTCGTTGTACACGTTTGTAGTCCCTGACATTTTTTTCAGATGAACAAGGAGAACAAACAGGCTGGGGGACTACATTGGTGTACGTACCGAGCAGCTGTACAGAGACAAGGGGTTTATCAATCCCCGTCATACGGACCGGTCAATTTCAACGAGGATCTCACAGCTCCTATGTATACAAGGATATCCATCGTATGGGATAAAGTCTTTAGGTAAAGATAAAAACAGTGCAGCCCTATAGCTTACTTCAAAATCTGCACTTTATATTAAAAATTCAATATGTTTGATTGGAGCTTTAAAAAGACAAGTCAAAACAAATTGCTCACCACATGTATAACATTGGGAAGTGGAGTAGGCCAGAACAGATGGACGTAAATACCATGTAGACTCAAATTAACTCCAAATCTGTAACATTTAGATTCATTATGAAGAAAATATGATTTTCTAAATTAGACTTCTTTTAAATTTACCTCTTCTAAAATAAGAGTTGTAAATAATAGAGAAGGAGACAAAAATACCTATCTTTGTTCATTAAATCTTTTTCAAAGAGCAAGAGGGCCAAAGTGAGAGGGAATGAAATTAGTTTTGCATTATGCTCAAGCACTATTGCTTTGTTTAGTCAGAATGGTGATAGTTACAAATGGGGGCAAGTACAGGCAAGTAAATAGATCTACGACAAGATATGGTACTTAGTACTAGACTAACTATTTTGTTGATCCCTGATCATCCTATTTCTCTATTGTTTGGGCAAGAAAGCTTCATTTATCAGTTTATTTTACCCCTACAAACAAAATTTTGGGGGGGTATATTGGAATTGCCTTGTTCGTCTGTCCGTCCATTCATGTGTTTAGCTGTCGGTCTGTGCAATCTTGTCAGGGCTATTACCTTGTTAACGAGAATCACTGGAAGCTCAAACTTGGCACAGAGATTGCTTTTGAAGGGTGTGTATGAAATTCTTGTCAGGACTACAACTTTAACTTTGTAATGGAGAATAACTAAAAGCTCAAACTTGGTACAGATATTACTTATGATCCGAGGGTACGTCTTGACATTGACCCAAGGTCATTCTGGCAAGTTCAAAGTCACTAGCAAAAAAAGTATAAAATTCTTGTCTGGGCCATAGCTTTGTAATGGAGAATCACTTGAAGCTCATACTTGGTAAAGCTATTGCTTATGATCCATCCAAGGGTGAGTCTTGGGTGTCTTGACCTTAATCTAAGGTCATTCTGGCAAGTTCAAGGTCACTTGCAGAAAAAGTATAAAATAATTGTCGGGGCTTTAACTTTGTAATAGAAAAATCATTGGAAGCTCGCACTTGGTGCAAAGATTGCTTATAAAAAGTGGGTTTGTCCTGATCTCGACTCAAGGTCATTCAGGCAAGTTCAAATTATTGTCTGGGCTGTAACTGGTATTGATGATCATTGAAAATTCATACTTGGTACAGGGATTGCTCATGACCTGAGGGTGTGTCATAACCTTGACTCAAGGTCATTCTGGCAAGTTCAAGGTCACTGGTATAAAAAGTGTAAAATTCATAATCTTGTATTTCCTAATCGAGAAACATTGCATGTCCAAATTTCACAGAAAGATTACTAATGACCAGAGAAAGTGTTATTTTCTCAACCAAGGTCTTTATGGCAAGTTCAAGGTCACATCTACAAGATCTGAATGGGCACTTTAAAGAAAATTGTGGCGAGGGGTATTATTTTGACAGCTCACTCACAGTACCTCTTAGTTTTGTTTTTTTATACTTGTATGGATCCTTTACATTGTTGTATTATACTCAGTGGTTGTTAAGACCCTGGGGCCTCTTGTCTTTCTTTCAGTAGAAACTTGTCATGATTATAGTCTATACTTTCAGTGGATCTTTGTGACAATATTTGGCTTTGCTTTCAGTGGAGTTTTGTGACAATATTTGGCTTTGCTTTCAGTGGAATACTATGGGGTTACTTTGAGAAGTTTAAGACAGCAGTACTGACTACACTGAATCAATTTATCCAGAACCTGATTCAAGAGCTTCATACACATGGTGTACAGCCAAGCAGTACACAGAGGGTCCAGGCTTACATCTCAGACAATGCTAAACATCAGGTGAGTCAAATTACACTATTAACCCTTTTGACGCCAAAGCAACATAAATGTCGTTTACTGTGTCAACTCCAAACCGACAAAAATGTCGTTTTTCAATAAATGTTTTACTTTTTCTTTTATTTACCATATACCTTGCATGTAATTTAACACAATAATATATGTATTTTGTCACAAATATAGGTCACTATTTTTACATAGATACTGGTCTAAATATGACATCATATTTCTTGCGTTGAAGTTAAATTATGAGTTTATGAGTACGCTAGCATTGTAAATAAAGTATGGCGCACTTTATGTTAGCATATTTATGGTTCATTGTTGCCGGAAAGTTTTACACTTATTTTCCCCGGTGATATATACATTTACATGCATAAATTTTTTTCAGAGAGAGAGAGAGAGAGCTCTGTGCACATATATAAGCATTTTTTTTTATTTTATAAGTGTTTTTTTTATTCTGAATAACATCTTATAAAATGTTTTTAACCATTTTGATTTTAATCCCCAGTTAATCATATTGATATACTCGATTAGACACTATAGACAGGCTCAGGGTGTATAGCGTCGATTTCCAAATGGGTGTTGGTTGGTTGGGGGGTGGGGGTTAAGCATGCAGAGATAATTGACAAGCAAAAAAAAAAAATCTCCGAATGAAAAGGCAACCGCTAATAGTTCAAACTGAAAAAAGAGACCTCATCGTTGTTTGAATATAAATACCGGTAACATGGGATGCTTGAACCTACATTTAAACGTTAAACAACAACAAAGAGGAGGGGAGGGGGCACACAGCTGTACTAAATTAACACATAATAAAATGGAGTAGGGGGCATGGAAAAAATCTAAATTATACTTAAATAAAAAAATTGAAATAATGGATTAAATGCATAAAAAAAATAGTAGTCTCTGAAAATAATATGAAATTGTTCTGATAAAAGCCAGTTTAAAATGAACTTGCAACTTTTTTAGGAATTGAATACAACTAAATAGATGTGGACTTTTTCCAAGAGCATTATACTCAGAGTTGAAGAAAATAAGAATTAAATCAACAGTGACTTTTTGCTTAAAAATATGTATGAAACAGAACAACAGTAGATTAAATACTGATGACCGTGAAAAATGTAAGGAATCGTTTTTTTAATTGACTCGAGAATTCGTGTATGTAGTAATTTAGCCATGTTTAGCATTGAAATCTTGAACGTCAAGTTTCAACTCTGATATCTCGACACCCCAGATATCTCGACATTTTGTGAAAGTTCCGTTGAATTGTACATGACTTTGAAGAAAAAATATGTTTTTAATCTTTCCTGTGGTAACAGGCAAAAATACCAGTCATGTTCTGTAATTTCAAGATTCCACTAAGCCTATGAAGAGAGACGAGTAGAGTGGTAGAGTTTCAAACATTAAATTACCTGCTTGCCTTATACAAAAAATTATAAACATGTGTTGGATGTATTATTTAACGATGTTCGCTCCTGAGCTTTTGAGCAGATTTATATCTTAACCTATATTTCAAAAATTCTGCATAAAGTTTCAATTCTTACAATAATTTTGGATTCTACAATGCCAATTAAACTATATTCAGTTAAAACTCCATGATTAGATTCCATACCAAAAGCATTAAGTGAGGAACTATATTTTGTGGCGAAAGGTTTTTTTTTAGAAGAAAATGATCATTTTTTCTCTCTCGAAGTATTTAAAGTATGTTAAGTTTAGATTCCTATTTTTACGTGCAGTCTGCACACAGAGTTATTTTGTGCAGTGAACTGTTTTATACTGGTCTTAAATTATGTATTAAATAAACTATCATGAATTCTATCATCATATTTTATAAATATAACGAATATATTGTGAAAATCAAGAAAAAAATATCCCTATTTTAAGCTTAAAATTAGCACTATTTTAGTAATATCTAAAAATTAACATCACAGACCCCCACTTTTTGTTTTCTTTTCTGAATATATAAGATACTTTTAACCATTCTTCTTAAATTCAGTAAAATGTCATTACTTTCAAATGATATTTTTGCTTGTTAAATTTTTAATGCCAGAAAAATGAATTTTTTTGAGTGCAAAAAGGTCAAATAATTGAACATGCAGAGTAATTTGAAAAAAGTTTCGTTGTTACAAATTTTAATGTGTCTATTCAAGATGAAATAAGACTGTGTTTGTTCCCATAATTTATTTGAATAAAAAATATTGGAGGAAAAACTTTAACAATTGATTTATGTGTAAGACGTATTTACAGTGCAAAAAGGTCAAACTAAATGCTCTGTAGCGCCAAAAGAAGCGCATTGACCCCCATTTTTTGTTTTGATTTTTAATTAAGCTATGTCTATAAATTCTAAAAATATACTTGATAAAAAATTCTCATTACTTTGGATGGCAGGATCCAACCTCCTTAATTATTGCTTGAGACATAATTATATATGCATCGAAGTATGAAAAGCTTTAAGATGTCAGATAAGCTGATGTCACGGAGGAAGAGGACTGCGTGAAAATATATTCAAGTCTTGCAAAATATTCAGTTTCAATTTCAGATTTCATCAAAATTGTAATACAGCTTTATTTCACTTTGCTCAGAAAAGTCCAGCTGCGTTAAATATGCATATAAAGAAAAAAGAGCCAAGAGCAGTACAACCATCTATTTGATCAAACTCTACTAAAAAAAAATTAATTTTAGAACTTTCCTTATCCGAGTTGGAAACCAGACAATAAAATCTCTCGCGAGATTTTTTTAATT